ACACACACACACACACACACACACACACACACACACACACAGAGAGAGAGAGAGAGAGAGAGAGAGAGAGAGAGAGAGAGAGAGAGAGAGACTCCACATATATGCACACACAAGTTGGTACACTTATTTTTATGAAGAAGCAGAAAATTTCTGTAATGCTTTCTTGAGAAATATTGTTTGCCCTAGATATTGGAAACAACATCTTGCTTATCTGACAGATAATGGCAAGAAACAGCTCTATTCCCAGAAGGGAGGCTGCCACAGTTAAAAGCCAACAACCATTTCTAAAGATTTAAACATTTCCTCTTCTGACACTCTGATTTCTATTTGCCTCTTGGTTTAGATTTGGAATAACTCAGTACTCACATGGTTTGCACAAATTCTGTGAAATAAGACATCTGATAGACCTATAATAAAGCACATGGCGGCTGTTCCACAATGCTAACCTTCCCTACGGTTGTTTTAAGGACGTTAAGACAGAACTCCCTCGCCCTCTTGTGTTCTTCTGCAGTATTGCCTGTGGGAAGACCAGCCCTGAGAATTCACGATGGGCAGGAGAAAGGTAAAGAAGGTAAAGGAATAATGAAGTCTTTTCCACAGACAGAATCAAGATTCTCAGTGATTGACTTCCTTATAAGGAAGTAGTGTGAGGTCTTCCTGTGAACCCAGGTAAGATCCGTCTTTATTGTCACACATCTTAGGTTCAGTTGACACTATTTTCATCAATTCTTTTCTTCAGGCCAGAGACATTTTGTTTGTCACTCCAAAGTTTTGACCTTTTGAGATCACAAAGAGCAGTATCTACTAGTGAAAAAAAATATTTATTTGATTTATGGGATGTGCTGTGTATTGTATTAAATGATAAAAGAAATGGGGAGGGGACATTTAACTTTTGTTACCTGTCCTGAAATCTCTGTTTTTGCTGAGGAGTTTCTGAATTCCATTTTCCACAGACAGCAAGTCAAAAGTAGATACAGAATGTGTTTCTGACTGCTCTTGGGAGATTCCAGCCACATCTAAATTCTTCCAGGTTCGGAACATTCTCAAAGTTGTCTTGGATGTATGTGATAATTAGTCTCTAAGCTATTTCCATGTAGCATCAATTCCAGAAGCTATGGTCCACATGTGCACCTAAAGTCACTTCAAATGCAAATGTGCCCTTCAAGTTCATGTGTACTCCATGCTGCTGTTCAAAGGGCAGCTCTTAGCAATAGGAGCCAACCCATTGCTTTAAACATTTGTGTTTCCATTTGTTCAGTGATGTACAGATCAGCTAATCTTGCCTGGC